GACTGTGACTCAGCATTTAAACAACAATAACACAAAATATCCTGACTGTGACTCAGCATTTAAACAACAATAACACAAAATATCCTGACTGTGACGCAGTGTTTAAATGATGATGACACAAAACATCAATACTGTGACTCAGCATTTAAACAATGAGACAAAACTTCCTGACTGTGACTCAGCATTTAACTAACAATTACACAAATTATTCTGACAATGACTCAGCATTTAAACAAAAGAAAACACAAAACACCCTGACTGCGACTCAGCGTTTAAATGATGACGACACAAAACATCCTGACTGACTCAGCTTCTAAATGATGACGACACAAAACGTCCTTACAGTGACTCAGCAATTAAACCATGATGACACAAAACATTCTGACTGTGACTCAGCAATTAAGTAATGATGACACAAAGCATCCTGACTGTGACTCGGCGTTTAAACAATAATGACACAAAACATCCTGACTGTGACTCAGCATTTGAACAATAACAACACAAACCATCCTGAATGTGACTCAGCATTTAACTAACAATTACACAAAGTATGCTGACCGTGACTCAGCATTTAACTAACAATTACACAAAATATTCTGACTGTGATTCAGCATTTAAATTATAAAGGACACAAAACATCCCAACTGTGACTCGGCATTCAAACAATAACGACACAAAACGTCCTTACTGTGACTTAGCTTTTAAACAATAATGACACAAAACATATTGACTGTGACTCAGCATTTAAACAACAACACAAAATCATCCTGACTGCGATGCAGCGTTTAAATGACGACACAAAACATCCTGAATGTGACTCAGCATTTAAACTGTAACGAAACCTGTCATTGAGTTTTAATAGAACAAATATAATGTCCATCCATCCATCCATCATCCATCCATCCATCCATCCATCCATCCATCCATCCATCCATCCATCCATCCATCCATCCATCAGTTCATCAGTGATGCCTACATTCAGGTTCTTGGCCATCATGAGGACCTACAGGTGGACCTGATCCAGGCAGACTTTGATATGAACATGATAGCAGGATGTTTGGTTCTTACTGTAGCAGTTGGTGGGGTCCTGAGTCCCCCTGATGTTCCCGGAGTCATCAATGGTCAGGAACCACTGTGTGCGGCTGTACAGCTGGCGGAGGCGCACGTCGCCTCCCTCCATGTAGTCGTAGTTTCTGGTGTGGCGCTCGTGTTTGGAGCAGTTCACGATGGCGGCCAGCTGCTCTGGAGTGCAGTCACCGCAGGCCAGGTGCACGCTGCCGAACAGGAAGACAGCATGCAGGTAGAGTCCCGACAGCGCTCTGTGAAGGTTCCATGTCAGCATCCATCTGTGCATTATACTTCACTGCTGTGGGGGTCACTGAAACACATACTGAAGAGCAAGATGTGACCCCCTGACCTCTAACCCYGCCCTGCAACCTCCAGGTCCTGGTTTTACAGCGTCCTAATGGAGGAACAGATTCAGACTGGTTTGGATTGGTTGGTGAAAAGACTCATGAATAGCTGAGAGTTTTAGAAGAACATGTCCTTCATTAGTCCTCGTTTAAAGTCCACCTGAGATGACAGTCCAACTGTAGCTGTCATGATCCAAATTAGTAAGATGTGGACCGCATGTCTCTGTAAAAAAAGACACTTTATTAGTAAACAACTTTTAAATTAAATGGTTGAATCTCCATCATGTCCTCATCTTAAATAAACCAAGCTTAAATAAAAGCTGCAGATTATTGACCGACCTGTGTTTCTTTGCAAAGAGACTCTTCAGGTCTAAAGAGTGGATGTGAGTCCAGCTTCAGYCTTTCCCTGATCCTCCGTGCACTCTGCTTAGATAAGTGCCTCCTGCTGACCTCACTTCAGAGCAATTAGATCCCAACCAGTCAGGCGTCCATGGAGGAACACCCCCTGCCTCCCTCGCTGCAGAGTCACTCCCCCCTCAGACTTCAGAGGGAGCTCCTGGAGCACCAGACCCTGTCCTCCATCAGTCAGAAAGAACTGCAGCTTGTTTTACAGATCTGACTCATGTTAACGCTCTGGGTCCTTCAGGGTTTTACTTGAATGACAAACCTTCAAAGAATCTGTTTTATTTTTATTTGTCACGTCACAGATATTTAGTGGTTTCACTTGGCTGTGATTGGTGAAGATTTACAGACTCCAGTAAAAACTTCCAAGAAGTGATTCAGTTCTTGTTCTTCTGGAGGGAAACAATAAGTCACAGCTGACAGGTATCCATCCAGGTCAGAGGTCACAACCTCACTTTCTCTGTTGGTTCAGAGGCACAGCTGATCTGTTCCTTGGACTCGTTACTTCAGAGGGTTAAATGAACCTTACCGAGGTCAGACCTGTGATCACCTCAGAGACTCTTGGGTCTTTAGAACTGAACCATCGGGAACACAAACTTTACCAGAGAATGTTAGAAAAGAACAAAGAATATCTCCTTTGTCTCGGTGAAGGTTTCAGGCCATCAGGTGTCAGGACAGAAAGTCTCCTCCTTCAGAATTTATCTGCAACAGTTGCAGCTCAGTGAGGTTCTGACCAGAGTTTCAGGATTCATGTAGTTAAACCCTGAAGAGCTACCCCTTCCATACAGGTGAGACCTTCAAATGATGCATTTTGTTACCGTAGACCTGATTTATTTAAATATTGCTGATAAGTAGAGTTGGGTCCTCTTCTTTCCCAGAACTGTTGGATTGGTTCTGATCATCATCCTTCAGACATGATGACAGGCTTCAGAGGGATCAGAGGAGTCTCTCACATCATTGGTTGGTTATTGTCTCAAAGAACCAGAGGGACAACTTTGTCAAACTCTTTGTTTCAGGTTTGGAGGATCTGCCTTAAACTTGTTTCTGTGATGAAAGACTTCATCTCTGGAAGAGATCCACAGATGATGTTTTATCATCGTTAGTCTGAGAGGAAAACACCAAAGGGACATGAGCTTTAATATTTGATCCTGTGTTCGAAATAATAAAAGATTCAGATCTGTGTCACCAGAGTCTTTGTTTGACTCCTGAGGGTCGTTAGGGTTTTTGTCTGACTCCTGAGGGTCATTAGGGTTTTTGTCTGACTCCTCTGGGTCATTAGAGTTTTTGTCTGACTCCTGAGGGTCATTAGGGTTTTTGTCTGACTCCTCAGGGTCATTAGGATCTTTGTCTGACTCCTGAGGGTCATTAGGGTTTTTGTCTGACTCCTGAGGGTCATTAGGATCTTTGTCTGACTCCTGAGGGTCATTAGGGTTTTTGTCTGACTCCTGAGGGTCA